CCCGATCCGGAACCTTCGGACCCCGAGCCCCAGTCCGATTCCCGAAACCCACAGAAACTCTAGATCCCGAGACTGCCTCCATAGCTCAAGACACTACCAAGAAGAAGAACAAGTGGTACGCGCTGGAGATCGCCTGCGTCGCTTTCTTAATCGCTCTCGCCGTCAACTATTTCGTTGGTAAACGTCAGAACGAGAGCCTCGCTTTGGCTTGGGCGGCCAAATTCGCTAGCAAGGACACCATTTTCCATAAGAATTTCAGCTTTCTGGGAGTTGGCGACGGAGAGGACTCGCCATTGTTGCTAAAAGAAGCTCCCAACGTCTTCAAATTCTACGCGAGAGCGGACGCAGGTATTGCTGGCCACTATGGAGCTACACGATCTCATCTCTAGGCTTTTTAACTTGCTGGTGGTACCTTGCAAGACGATATCACTTTTGAGGTTTACATGAACGGGGAAACCATGGATCATGTCGTGTTTGCCATGGCCAGGAAGAAGGCGGCCAAAACAATGCAAAAGGAGCTCCAGAGATGGTGTCTCCTCCCGCCGGGAGGAAGTGGGTCTCGGAGGAGCTAGCTGTGATCTCTGAATCCAAGGAGGTTGCTGGGGATATGATCACAGACACTGTGCTTGATCAGGTGAGAATGAATGAGCCTTATTGCTTTCCAGTGAGTGTAAAATATGTTGGAAGGAAGCTTTAGTATCATTAAGCATCACTAATGGTTCAGTAATGGAGTTAGGTTATGGTAATTTATCCTTCTGTGTTTGTTCCAAATATTGCTTTATCAAACAAGAGAGCATCTGCTACTGCTGATTACCTTAATTTGACTAACTTGTTCAAGTTCTATATTGCTTCATATTACACATTATTTTTCTCTATTATAAAATCTTTGCTACACTTACCAAATATGGGCATGCAATGGAACTCTGTAGGTTTTTGGTGACAAGGCTCTGGACAAGTACGGGAAGAATTTCAGGTCCATGCATATATCTGACCAACACCCTGGCAAACACAGGAAGATGCTGCTTTTCAAGTTTTCCTTACCTGATGCTAAACACATGGATGATCTTGTCCGGTTGGTGACGCTAATTCCATATTACATCGACCTAGTAGGACGGTACAGGCTCAGTTCCCAGGTAAGGGGAAAGTAATTTATTATTCGTCATAGCCTGGTCCGGAGTAAAAGGCTTTTTTGAGAAGCTGAGTTAATCAGGTCTCTTTTGATTTTATGAAGGCACGGAACAAAAGTGAGAGTGGTAGGCAAAAGGCAGCAGAGGAAGCATACAAGGAACTTCAGAATGCGAGGCAAGTGGCATTGC